ATCAGTGCCTCTTCCCAAATTCTATGCCTCTCTTAATGACTGTGCATTTCCAAACTATAGGCTCATGCCCAAAGAATGTTTGTGCTGTTTGGATCTACATATGTATACCATATATACTCGTGTATAGTTCGAGTTTTTAAGACCAAATTTTTAGGCAAAAAATTGGGGGTCATCCTATACATGCGTAATAGTTTTGTTAGGTTGAACCCGTGCATGATGGGAAGGGCGAGGAGCAACTTTTAGCTTCAGACATGAAAAATATTTACCATTTACTGCCAGTTAACAATGGAAACGTAAAATATGTACCAATTAGTAATGAAAAGTTGTGCAGTTCCTTCAGCAAATGAAGCTCACCAACTTACAATAGGCTAAATTACCTTACAACGTGCTTTCAGTAGTCTATGTTGAAGTTCTTAGCACAGGCTAACTTATCATATCATATACGGTATCACAGTTCTCATTGATCTACAAAAATACCGGTAATAAAAACCGTTTCGATATTTCACACTTAATATAATACCCGGTAATCTACTTCAACCTCCTATTGTTTACAAAGACGCATGACACATCACGCACCACCAACTGTTGAGTGTATCAGCTAGACGGTACACGTGTTTTTCGAATCGTTTTCAGTTAAAAAACTGTTACATCACATGTATATTTTACCTTAACTGTGCCTGAATGAATATAGTCTCAGAAATAAATAGCAGTTTTGCTGAAACGTGATGTATTTTAATGTAAAATAGGATAAAATGCATGACGAAAACAAAAGATTTTACCTAACCTTCCGATGTTCAAGAGAAGTTACTCGTTTTTTTAAAAGTTTTTGGTTAAAATATTGTTATATTACAATGGTATTCTATTCATACTGTGCTTGATATAATGCATTCACGGAAATGTAATATTTTTGCTGAAATGACGTACGTATTACAATGGAAAGTGGGATAAAATCGTGACGAAAACATGACTTTCGCTTTCTTTCGTTCAAAAGATGTTACCGTAATCGCTTTTCGAATGGGTTTCAGTTAAAAAAACTGTTGTATTACAATAATATTCTATCCTAATTGACTTGAATAAATACTACGATACCATATTTCGGAATATTTTCATTAAAATCCATCAAAATAATTTTCCTTGTCATCGTCTGCAGCACCAAACAGCTTCTCCCAGTCCTCTCCTTGAACAGGGCTAGAGAGTACGTGTTTTTTTAATCGTTTTCAGTTAAAAACTATTACATCACACGTATATTTTACCTAAACTGCGCCTGAATGAATATATTATCGGAAATAAATAGTAGTTTTGCTGAAACGTGATGTATTTCAATGTAAAATAGGATAAAATACATGACGAAAACAACAGACTTTACCTAAGCTTCCGATGTTCTTGAGATGTTACTGGTTTTTTTAATATTTTTCGGTTAAAATTCTGTTATATTACAATGATATTCCATTCATACTGTGCTTGATATAATGCATTCACGGAAATGTAATATTTTTGCTGAAATTACGTACGTATTACAGTGGAAAGTGGGATAAAATCGTGACGAAAACAATGACTTTCGCTTTCTTTCGTTCAAAAGATGTTACCGTAATCGCTTTTCGAATGGTTTAGTTAAAAAACTGTTGTATTACAATAATATTCCCTCCTAATTGACTTGAATAAATACTTGAATGGGAATATACAATATTTTTGTTGAAACTACCCGCGTTTCAGTGTAAAGTGTCGTAATAATAAATGGTAAACAATTTGCCTTCGGCACTAGGCGAGCCTCAGTTTATAGGACGTAGAGCATTTTTTACTGAAGGTTTTGTTGTTCCGTTGCCCTCAAAAACGTGGGTCGACCTATAAACGATGAATATCATAAATTAACAATTTCTTGGTCAAAAAATCAGGGTCGACCTATAAACGAGGGGGGGGGGGTTATAGACGAGTATATACGGTATATGTGAGCAGACATTTTTCTGTAAAGAAGCTGAATAAATCAAAACTTAGATCTGCAATGACTGATGATCACTTTGAACAATTACTTTTCACTGCAACAACGGAGGCAACATCTGACTTCAATGGTCTGGTTAGGATATCATCAGCGCTGACATTCATCCCAATGAGTAAGTTAAATATTCTTATCAACATATGAACAACTTCAAATATTATATAATTACATATTGGTCTTTTGACTTGCTTTTATTTACTTATTTTCAACCATTAAAACTTAATTTTATTACTTTTTGATTTATCAAGAAAAACAGATAAATATAAAATTTTATGAATTTTACAAATTTTATTTATCAAGCAGTGCAGCAGTGACAACGTGGATCAGAGACAGCTACAATCAGACCTGGACGACTCCACCCAACCACCACCACCCTAGAGAAGCTGGAAGAAGCAGGATTAGCTGTGATCAGACCTGACCAACTCAACCCTACCACCACCTCCCTAGGGAAGACTAAAGACAACATCTCAAAAGAAGAATTTCAGCCAGCAAGATCGATTCTGTTCTATTACGCTTATCTACTTTAAGTACTAATTATACTGCACCTTAACTCTATATTATTACTAGTAGTATTAATGTCAGTATTTGTATTAGCATTATTATAAATAATAAAAGACACAAGCTAAGAAGTGATGTATTTATCTATGTACTGTATGTTACTTAATATTTTCCTTACCATCCTACAGTATATATATGTTGGGCTCAGAAAACGAAAAGCGACCACAACGCGTTGTAGTAGTTTTCAAAATAACCAGAAAGCGAAACTTTGCATTTGGATTTTACCCTAACTTAACCCAATCCAAAGTAACCTAACCTATAGCAAAATCTCGCTTCTGGTTATTTTCCAAACAACCACATGCTTTTCGGTTTCTGACCCCAACATATACAAATACAAGGCTTTACTTTGCGCAAATATTATGCATTTGCATATACTATACAATCAGAAAATGTATTAAATATGTTGAGTCTACCCTCAAGTCTACTCTGCTTTGTTAATAACAAAGCACAGAGTGGACTTGAGGGTAGACTCTACATTTTTAATATACATTTGTTTCTGATTATTTGTGAGAGGATTTTTCCTATTATGATTTATCTGTATGTTTTGTGTTGTGTGTGTGTCTGAACACACACACACGTATATACTACACTACAGGTAAAAGAAATAATAGTGCTAAGGGCAAAGACAAAGGGAATACAGTATACATTTCTTTGTACACAAGTAAACATGTAACACCCCCCTCCCCCCCAGTAAGCAAATGTTATTAGCAGATTTGGCGATTTGCGGCCATTTTGAGAACCTAAGCCCCGCGAATTTGAAGGGTCTGCTGTATTGTAATAGCTGGAGGTCCATTTTCAAAAACGCCCTTCTTAAAAAAATTCAACAAAATTTAAAACTTTAAGAGACCAACAAGGAAGAAAGTGTTGGGGAATGTCTTTAACCCTTCTGACAGCTAACAACTCCCTAGAGGCACACATATGGAATGTAAGGGTCATGAACCATTCAATGATAGGCATTATAATACAGTACAGTACTTAATGCTTCTCCCTAGGAGTTAAGAGAGGGTTCCCACTTATCCCTCTTAAGGTTTAACCTCAACATGAAAACAAACTTTAAGATAAAAAAATTTGGACACAAAGATGTACAGGAAACTCAAACACCTCCCAAGATTTGAACTAATTCACCCTACTTAATGCAAATAATTGCTCTAAACTATATGAGCCAATCAGTGTCTAGCTTAAGAAGTTATAACAGTTTCATGTATCAAGTTTAGTATCTTTATTCACAGTAGTGTTATTTTTTGGGGGGGTAAATGCCAGACAATTTTATTCAACAGAGAAATCCCTACCACTCAATAGAAGCTGAACTACATTTCTACCCATCTCATCAAAGGAGCAACCATTCTGAAAGATCTAAGGAGAAGGAAGGCATACTGACACCTAGAAACAGTCTCAGGTAAAAACACTAGAGAGCTTGTTCTAACCCGCAACACTAATTTGAACTGTATACTACACTACCAGTACTTCATCTGTAAGTAAATGGCATAATGCAATACCATTTAAACTAGCGAGGCATCTTAACTAGGTCCAAAATTCCCTTTGTACACATGCATATTGAGAAAGAACTCAATGCAAGAAAACTAATCCTCTAACTGAATAATTAGATCATATAAGAGTTACGTATTAGCATGAATGTCTTTTTATTCCAAGTTATTGACTACTTCTGTACTGAATAAAAAGCAAGAGAATGTACAGTATTGCCAAAATCACATAAGGAACTTTACATCCTAAGGGCCTCCCTGTGATATGTTTGTCAGATGCACAATATGATAGGGTTTCAATTCATCCCACACACTGATGGTAACTTTTTCTTAAAGTAGGAAAGGTTTTGGAGATATCCCATATGCGGAAAAGCATGATAAAATGATAAACAATTCTTGATCCCTTTTAATGAATGAACTAAAAAAAGTGGGTAATACTGTAGTCTGAATAATATAATAATCTTTACAATGCTAAGATCAGCCTGACAAGCATTATAGGACAATCAATATACAATGCCATTAAGCCCCTACATGGTGGTATTTGATGGAGAATTAACACCTGTACCCTGTACCTAAGTCCTCAGAATCAGTCATCCAAGATTAAAATAATTCAAATACACAGTTCAGTTTGTAAGGGATCACAAAATGCTACTACAGTCCAGGATCCAATTAAGAGGAAGTTCCTGATACAATTTCTCAAGTACTGTATCTAGCCCTCAGGTCTATATATTAAAAGTAAATTGAAAATTTTTCTTCTTTAATGGTGTATGAAGAGTGAAATCATCATAAAAAAAAATAATAATAATTTATTGTGAAAATTAAATTCATATCTACAACCTAACAGCCTTGGCCACCTCTGGTCAAGAAGTAAAAAAAATAGATTATTATAGTAGGAACAATAGTGTTAAGCCTTTATTCCCCTAAGAATGAATTTGGATTAATAGTTGTGTGGAGGTAAAGCCACTTACCATGTTTGAGAGTCCACTGCTCTACCAGGGTTGTCACTAGAAATAAGTGGTAAGAGAGGTGTGTAAGTAGGAGGAAGTCATGCCACACAGTCAATCTCTACATTCCACATGAAAGGGTATGAACATCTTTTATGATGTAATTTAATTACTAGCTGTTTTATTATCAATATTATTTAAAAATTATTGAATCTCAAGATGACAAATGAAAACTGCTCAAATGGACTTAAACCAAAAATTCACTGCCTGTCACCTTCAAATGACAACCCTGATCTACCGACAAGTGTATCTCCAACAAAGGCAAAGCCTTTTCAGGAATAATGCTGTGTACTGTACATACTCTATGTACAGTACCTGGTGATATAATTACTTCATCAAGGGCAAACCTGGGGAGTAAGCAACAAGTTGCACTAAATTATATATACTGTACAGTATAATCCCAGCTATCTGGTACCTGGGCAACTGGTATATTCAACTAACTGGCACCAAAATGAAATAATAACAATAAAAATTCCTCCAAAATCAGCTTGAATCGTAACTTTGAATACTGCATGCAATGGGGATGAGTTGCCATATTTATTGCTATGATAAACAATAAAATCAATACATAGCATATCATAAAATACAATACAGTAACATATTTTATGTACAAAAATACATAGCTCCTTCCACACACTGAGTGACGCAACACAGTTCAGGCAGTCACCCAGTTGACTCTCAGACGTGGCTGCCGCGCTGGCTATGTATGCCATATCACATTAGGAGAGCAGCCACACAGATATAGCCCAGTAACCCACAAAGGCTCTTCATTTTTCTTATTCTATAGTTTTATATACGGGTAATATAGTTCTATGTTTCTAAGCCACATTAGAGTACCGTATTGGAATAAACAAGGCAGCTGGGCTGACGAGTTGGAGACGTAGTTATAGCCCACCACCTCCACTCCACACACCCATGCTCTTCAATTTTCTTATTTTATAGTTTTATATTACATTTTCTTTATTTCTAAACCACATTAATATAGAATGGAACAAGTGTTAACCCTTAAGCCCCGGGTTAGAAGCTGCTGGCAGTACCCCCCACGCGGGGTTAAATCAAGAAAAAAAATCAACATTTCCAAAAATAAAATAAAAAGTGGCGAGAAAATAGGCGGACGTTCTGGAACGATACCCGGGACCAAAGGGTTAAAGAAGTGCATTTTTCCGAGACATGAGTTTGTGAAATCAGCCTGTAACACTATGCATTATGGGATCCTAAGATTGAGTTTCAATTACTAACCGGAAAAGCTCTTCATTCGGCACCTCTCAATCCCAGTAGGTGCCGGATAACTAGGATTCTAATATACAGCATACAGTTATATCTCCGTTAGCCGGAATCCCTCAAACCCCGAACTCTACGATAGCCGGAAACGAAATTCTCTTGGAAAATCGTTCCCAAACCCGTAATTTTCCCAAAAGTTCAGGCTTTGGGAATGATTTTCCGAGAGGCACATTTTCCAGAAAATTCTGAGAAAATTTTCCCTATACTGTACCCGGAAAATTCCGGGAATGGGGGATTTTTTCAGGGTTTGAGAGATGAAAATCAGGTGCATTCTCTGGAAATTCCGAGAACAATTTTCCGTTACCCGGAAAATTCTGGGGATGAGGGATTTTTTTCCGGCTTTGAGACTCGGAGTTGTCTCATTACCCGGAAATCTCTCATTCCCGGAAGTGCTCTGCACCAATTGTTCCGGCTAACAGGGATATCACTGTACAGTATATGTAAATAAATCATTGTAGGTGCACGTGATCCATGTATTGTATGCTGATAACCACACAGAAAAATAAAAAAATAAACAAGGCACTAATTTGACTTAAATCTGTGGCGAGTCAAGTATGATGCAGCTCAGTTTATCAATGAAGGAGCGTGGGAAGGAGTGAAAATGATAAATAAACATAATTATTACAGTACTCTATTAACTCTCCCATATGCCTTCTACTGTACAGTACTAGATATATATTATAGTATTGTATTGTATTTGGCTACAGTAAGCTCCTCCCTGACTTACGATGGGGTTAGGGACCCAAATCCAGGTCGTAAGTCAAAAATGCTTAAATAATGCATAGAAAATCTAAAATGGGTGTCTCTTTTTCTTCTCAGCACCACAAAACTCTCACTTTTAAGCTTGCCAGCCATTTTAAAGTGAATTACAAACGAAAATTTTGTCTTTGTACTGACGTTGGGACTCGTAAATACTTAATTTGACAAAATTTTGGTACGACTGAGGCAGGTCGTAAGTGCGGGTGGTCGTAAGTCAGGGAGGAGCTGTATTTAATTTTGAAATTCTACCAGTATTGTACAAGAGAACAAACCCTTGTTAACAGTTTTTGCAAATTTACAACTACAGGTACCAAAGTTTTTTTATTAAATCTTTACTTCTATCTTTGTCTTCGGCTGATATACCAAAATCGCACCATCGTTGTATTAAGATGATAAGCATTTGGCATCAAGAATTTAAAGCTGTGCGCCTCAAATCATCTAGGAATGATACAGAATTACCTACACCTCATCACCCTCCTCCTGTCCTCAGTGGCCACTCACTCACACCTACAACACCACACCCTGGTTCACCACCTATGTAAAGGCTTACCACTCACTGCACAACAAAAACCATCTCTTGCATCACAACAGCAACCAGCACTCAGCAGTTGCTAGTTACTCTCTACCTCACCTCATAGGCTCATAACTCACCCCCCTTAATGAGAATTTTTTTTATGGTTTTTCTGGCTTCTAAATTTCATAACTTTTCCCCCACTTTCATGTCATGTTTTCTGCGTATACGGGTACCCTCGATTTCTCAAATGCCGCAGTTATTGGGCTAACTAACAGGTACATATATGCAAAGCAATACACTCCACCAAAATTTCATACTAATTAAAACTTGTAGCCACTTGGTCAAAATGTCTCAATGTCATTACAGTACTTTGTATACACAACATAAAACAATGATAATGATAGGGTTAAACCAGGGGCATGCAAACTTTTTGCATTGAGGGCCATAATAAAATCCATACGATGCATGATGGGCCATAGACTCACTACTGTATATTGCTTTTAAAATTCAGAATTAATGATAAATCTAAAGCCTAAAACAAAATTCTTACTTACAAGTGCTTGATGACATACAGGCCCTTAAAAACAAAGAAAAAAAATGGCAACTCCGAGTCACTGGACATCACAGTGTGATCACTGAATCTTGATACCATTTATTAAACTGATCTTACACTTTTAAAAATTTATATACAGTAGTATTATAACATTATTGTTACATACTGTATGTAATTTCTCATAACTGCTGGATATTCAGTTTCTTTACACCATTAATGAGGTGTCACACTTTATAGGTTGTAGAGGTGATCATGCAGGCCAATATATTGAATGTTATGCCTTGGGTGTGGGGGGGCCGCAGACAGGGTTCATGGTACTTTCAGAAGTGGGCCGCACTGACAGGCTTCAAGGGCCGCAGTTTGCACAACTTTGGGTTAAACTTTAAGATAGAAAATAACCATGAGATAGAAGTATAAAGTAAATGGCCACCTCTACCAGACTACCACTCACCCCACAATTTTTGTTGAATAAGCTTAAAATTTCTAATCTGCACATAAATGTTCTTATCCTGATAGAATTTGAATCTCTAGAGCAGTGGTTCTTAACCTTTTTTGAGTCACGGACCCCTTTGAGAATCTGGTAAAAGCTATGGACCCCCTCCCTAGAAAAATGCACATAAACACAACTTTGCATGCATTGAATATATATTGACAAAAATATAGTGAATATAAATGTTAAATTTTTATCTGACCTTCACAGACCCCCTGAAGCCCATCCATGGACCCCAGGTTAAGAACCCCTTCTCTAGAGCAGTGTTTTTCAAACTTTTTTTACTGTGACCCACAGCCAGAACAACAATTTGAATTGCGACCCATTAAACCTAAGTGTAATGATATGAAATGAGTAAATCAAAGACAAACACTGTTCACAATTTTCCTTTATTTAGCATCGACAAAATTCATGTAAATTTCTCATGATCCATTTATATTTGAATTATATGTATCCAATTGTATGAAAATAAAAATATTCTGATTTATTTTTGCGACCCATTTTTATTTTGCGACCCAATTTATTTATTTCGCGACCCACTGAAGGGTCAGGACCCATAGTTTGAAAACCCCTGCTCTAGAGGGTAAGGGGTAGCAAAGCACAGCACATACACTAGCATGAAACAGTCAATTTGAAAGTAATAAAAGGTTTTATTGAAATTCTGTACATCTGAACTGGTCAAAATATCAACCTGGAGCACAGTACAGTATGTGGGCAAACCAGAAACAACAATACATGTACGTACTGATCTGTTCCATTCTTTCTATTCTTTTACTCTCCTATGATGGCAGATGACAATAATATTAAAGCGGGGCCTTCTCGGATGGGTCGCACTGGTCGGAAAGGTTGTGGACCCCAGGGCCGACCTGATCATCATGAAACTACTGGGGCCTCAACTGACATTTCCACGGTTGCTGGAGGATCGGCTTTTTTCACACTTAATTTTCCCAATATTCGCAACCTGAGATCCAATTTTCCTTCTGTGGAGCACCACCTATTAACCTCTCCCCCTAACCTTTTACTATCTATCTGAACTTCAACTGACCAAAGCAGATTCACCCAAACCTTTTCAAGTCTCCAACTGCAACCTTTATACCTCTGTCCTTTCTAAGGGATGTGTTAGCGCAGGGGTTCTCAACCAGGGGGGAATTTCCCCCCTCAGGTTTTCGGGGGGGGGGGGGAAATGATACTAATATGGAAAAAATAAAGGATTTTCAGTATTATATGCATATTATTTGGAATGCACTTTTTGAGGCAGACAATCTTGGAAAGGAGGGGGGAATGACATTCTGCCATATGGTGAAAAGGGTGCATGGGGCAAACAAGGTTGAGAACCACTGTGTTAGCGCCTACAGCAACACACGTACAGTACACATATAGCTCGACTAATGGATCTTGAATCT